CCCCCTTAGCTACGCCCCTGTTGAGCCGATTATTATTTGCTTCTTCTATAGGGCTAGTATAGGATATCTTTGTATAGACTGATGGTGTTCATAGATTTTTTATCTACCATGCTGACAAAATCCTATGCATAGAGAGAGTACACGATCGCGAAGTAGATTGCGCATGTGAGTATACAAAGTCAGCGATTAAAAGTATATTACTTTTTGAGGGAATTTCCCCCCATAAAGTTACTACGACATCAGGTTTACTGAGTACTATCCAGTTGTTATGAACCTATAAAACATGCAGTCGCCTAAAAACAGTCGCACAATGAAGCGTACAAAATCCTAGCTTTTCAGAGCAGTAACAGAATCACCAGCCCACTTTTCGTTGTTAGAGCTAGTATAGGACCGAGAGGAATAATTTCAAAGTGATTCAAACTAAACCTAAAATTCAACTGAATTGTAAGAATAGGTTAATATATTATACAACTTCGTTGGGAGCGAGGTTGTCATGGAAAACGGTACCAAATGTCTGTGGCGCAATAACTAGAGAGAAGCAAGAAAGTAAATCGAGTTACTGACCTCCATTAATATGCATGTTCTTCGTTACAATGCTCTTTAATTAAAATACGTTACAAAGGGTCGCTACCTACACCGGGGGGCAGGCATTACTTTTGAAATCTTTTTACCGTCAACATCTCAAATTTACCGCTATTTTCGGGGATTTTACTCAGATAATAAAACTAATATAGGTTCTAGATTTTAATCGACAATATGTGCCAGCTGCTATGATAACAATTTCATGTTTTGTTGCAGTTTTGGAAAATGTTCTTTATAAATATTTCATCCAATCTGGCAACTTCTTTTCTTCTGGTATCATGCTCACCGCATTTTCCATGCGGTCTTGTACGAGTTCAATATTTTCATAGCTTTTAGCTGTGTCAGGATGATCTTCCCCCCCATACAGTTTCAATCTGATTTGAAGGGCATGTTGATATGACTCTACAGCTGACTTGTAATCTTCCATCTCACATTGTGTGTCTCCAATGATATCATAACTTCGAGCAATGTCAGGATGATTCTCTCCAAACAATTTTAACTCAATTTGTAGAGAGTGTTGTTGTGACTCTAATGCTGACTTGTAATCTTTCATCTCACGTTGTGTGATTCCAAGGCTGCAATAACTGAGAGCAGTGTCAGCATGGTACTCCCCGTGCAGCTTTAATCTTGTTTGTACAACATATCGATGTAACTTTAATGCTGCTTTGTAGTTTTTCAGAGCACGTTGAATGACTCCAATTGCACGATAACTTTCAACAGTGGCGGAATGAAATTCTCCATACAATTTTAATCTAATTTGAAGAGTATGTTGATGTGACTCTAAAGCAGACTTATAGTTTTTCATTTCATATTGTGTGCCAGCAATGCTATAATAACTCTTAGCAGTGTCAGGATGGTCTTCCCCAAACAGTTTTAATCTAATTTGAAGAGCTCTTTGCTCAGACTCTAACGCCGACTGGAAGTTTTTCATCACATGTTGTGTAACTCCCATGCTGTTATAACTCAGAGCAGTGTCGGAATGGTCTTCTCCAAACAGTTTTAATCTGATTTGAAGAGCATGTTGATGTGACTCCAACGCTGACTTGTAATCTTTCATCTCACGTTGTGTGACTGCAATACTGTTATAACTTCTAGCAGTGTCAGAATGGTCTTCGCCAAACAGTTTTAATCTAATTTGAAGAGCATGTTGATTTGACTCCAACGCTGACTTGTAATCTTTCATCTCACGTTGTGTGACTGCAATACTGTTATAACTTCTAGCAGTGTCAGAATGGTCTTCACCAAACAGTTTTAATCTAATTTGAAGAGCATGTTGATTTGACTCCAACGCTAACTGGTAATCTTTCATCTCATGTTGTGTGACTGCAATGCTATTATAACTACTAGCTGTGTCAGAATCGTCTTCTCCAAACAGTTTTAATCTGATTTGAAGAGCATGGTGATCTGACTCCAACGCTGACTGGTAATCTTTCATCTCATGTTGTGTGACTGCAATGCTGTTATAATTTCTAGCTGTGTCAGAATGGTCTTCTCCAAGAAGTTTTAATCTGATTTGAAGAGCATGTTGATGTGATTCCAATGCTGACTTGTAATCTTTCATCTCACGTTGTGTGACTGCAATGCTGTTATAACTTCTAGCAGTGTCAGAATGGTCTTCTCCAAACAGTTTTAATCTAATTTGAAGAGCATGTTGATCTGACTCCAACGCTGACTGGTAATCTTTCATCTCATGTTGTGTGATTGCAATACTGTTATAACTTTTAGCCGTGTCAAGATGGTCTTCTCCAAACAGTTTTAATCTAATTTGAAGAGCATGTTGATCTGACTCCAACGCTGACTGGAAATCTTCCATCTCACGTTGTGTGACTGCAATGCTGTTATAACTTCTAGCAGTGTCAAAATGATATTTTCCGAAGAGTTTTAATCTGATTTGAAGAGCATGTTTATGTGACTCTAACGCTGACTTGTAATCTTTCATCTCAAGTTGTGTGTTTCCAATGTTGTAATAACTTAGAGCAGTTTCAGAATGGTCTTCTCCAAACAGTTTTAATCTTATTTGAAGAGCATGTTGGTGTGATTCCATCGCCGACTTGTAATCTTTCATCTCATGTTGTGTAACTCCAACGTTGTAATAACTTAGTGCCGTGTCAGCATGGTCTTCTCCAAACAGTTTTAATCTGATTTGAAGAGCGTGTTGATGTGACTCCAACGCTGACTTGTAATCTTTCATCTCATGTTGTGCAATTCCGATGTTGTTATAACTTCTGGCAGTTTTAGAATGGTCTTCTCCATGAATGTTCAAACCTTTTTCAACAGCTTTTTGTTGCGATGCCAATTCTGAATCATTGTTTCTCATTTTTTCTTCTTTTTTACTCTAATAACAAAATGTAGCTTGGTTGGTAAGTTATGTTAGCATCTGAAAGCCTTTCGTCTGCCTACAAATGCTATTGCACATTGGAATCCTACAACTTCAGAGTGATAAGAATCAATTTATAAGGCGAATGGCTTCGTATTTAAGAATATGCCTGGTAAGGAATATTTAATATCTCTACTTCGTCAGTACTACGCGGTAGTGGCAGCTAGTAAATTTAGCAAATCAAATTAGTTGCATTATATAATATACTTGATATTTTGCTGCCAGTACTGAAAATGGAGCATTACGCGCACTGTTTTTATGGTAGTTGGGCAGTAAGGTAGTTGGGTAGCAAGGTAGTTGGGTAGTGAGTGAGTAAGTGAGTGAGTGAGTGAGTGAGTAAGTAGTAAGGAAGTATGGTAGTTGGGTAGTAAGGTAGTTGGGCAGTATGATAGTTGAGTAGTAAGGTAGTTGGGTAGAAGTTAGGTAGTTGGGCAGTATGGTAGTTGGGCAGTATGGTAGTTGAGTAGTACGGTAGTTGGGTAGTAAGGCAGTTGGGTAGTAAGGTAGTTGAGTAGTATGGTAGTTGGTTAGTAAGGTAGTTGGGTAGTAAGGAAGTAAGGTATTAAGGTAGTTGGGTAGTAAGGTAATTGGGTGGCAAGGTAGTTGAGTAGTAGTTAGGTTGTTGGGTAGTGAGTATTTAGTAAGGAATTATGGTAGTTGGGTAGTAAGATAGTTGGGTAGTATGGTAGTTGAATAGTAAGGTAGTTGGGTAGTAAGTTAGGTAGTTGGGTAGTAAGGTAGTTGAGTAGTAAGGTAGTTGAGTAGTAGGTAGTTGGGTAGTAAGGTAGTTGAATAGTAAGGTAGTTGGGTAGTAAGTTAGGTAGTTGGGTAGTAAGGTAGTTGAGTAGTAAGGTAGTTGGGTAGTAAGTTAGGTAGTTGGGTAGTAAGGTAGTTGAGTAGTAAGGTAGTTGGGTAGTAAGTTAGGTAGTTCAGCAGTAGTAGTTGAGTACTAAGGTAGTTGGGTACTAAGGTAGTTGGGTAGTAAGGTAGTTGGGTAGTATGGTAGTTGAGAAGTAAGGTAATGGGTAGTAAGGTAGATGCGTAGTAAGAACTAAGGTAGTTAGGTAGTTGAGTAGTAAGGCAGGTGGATAGTAAGGTAATTGGGTTGTAAGTAAGTAGCAAGGAAGTAAGGTAGTTGGGTAGTAAGGTAGCTGGGTAGTACGTTAGTAGGGTAGTAAGTTAGTAGGATAGTAGTTAGGTAGTTGGGTAGTAAGGTAGTTTGGTAGTAAGGTGGTTGGGTAGTAAGGAAATAAGGTAGTTGGGTAGTAAGGTAGTTGCGTAGTGAGGTAGATGCGTAGTAAGGAATTAAGGTAGTTGGGTAGTAAGGTTATTCTGCGGCTGAATATTAACAACCTTTTGGTCCCAAGCAAAAACTGCTATATGCGCAACAATGCCAGCAGGCGCCACGGTGGCCTTTTTTTGTACGATAGAAGCTCAGCATCTGGTCACGGCCGGAGCCTTTTTAATAACTTTTGTTTTTCGTGATCATCACCATTATATTTTGGTAGCTATGTCAGAAGACTGCCTGCTTTGTTGAGCTAAAAAGCCTGGTTTTTTTGAAGGCATAATGAAGTAGAGACTGTTACCAATTACCGTTGGCCATCAGATAGACCAAATACTATAAAGTCAACATAATTTGATAGTGAGCTGCTTTTTACCGTGCCAAACATAAAAACAAATAACTATGCGCAACATAGTCAAAGTCATTCAAATTTCGAACACAATTTTAGTACTCGGATTCTAAAAATAATCTATTATAAAAATTGGATTCATCATATGACATTTTAAAGTGTGTGGTTTACTGTATACAAGACACAGTTACTTAGTGAATTTGGAGTGGATAAAGATGAACCACAATTTAAGCAGTCTGAAACAGGGGGAGCTATGGTGGGACCACTGTATTGTAAGTTTCCTCTGCTCGTAAGTTGTTGGCTTGTTGCAACGCTTTTCAAATTCAGCGCAATTAATTCGATTTGGCAATAAAGAATAATTTGGGCGCTTTCTTGGTATATAAGCAACCGAAATACTTTTACACATGGCATACCTTAATATTACCTTAAATTAACTGGCTTAGTGTACCTTAGCCTACCTTAGTCTACTTTAGGGTACGTACGTGAGCCTATACGTACTTAGACTTCCTTATACTACCTTAGCCTTCCTTAGCCTACCTAATTAGACTACCTTAGCCTACCTTAGGGTACCTTAGCCTACCTTGACTACATTACGGTATCTTTGCCTACCTAGCTAGGGTACCTTAGCCTACGTAAATGTTAGGCTACCTTTATAGCCTACAAAGAATAGCCATTAATCTTTAATCATCCAAATATGATATTTGCCTTAGCATGTGTCTAGATCGATTCGACTTTGAGGTGGAATTAGTCAAAATTCGAAAAAGGTAGTTTGCTGTCTCTCAAATTCAGGAAAGGTATCAGATTAATAAATTGTTACTTTGAAAGTCTTCTCATGCAGCATACTGCTCGAGTAATACTGTATTACCAGAGCAGTATTGTGCATGCTTCAGTTAATTCATTGTCAAAAATTTCAATTTAGAACTTATTTGTTCACTTTTATAATTGTATTAAGATTTTTGTCGTCTTTAGATCCATTGAAATATATTATAATGCTCGTAAATATGTACTCTCTTGAAATTTGCAAAACTGGAACATGTTTCATGAGAAGAATTTCAAAGTAAGGTAGCAGTCATTATTAGTGATGAGAGGGATGGGGAGCGGGAAGTCTTCTACTAATAATTCTTCATTGGCTCACCCCAAAGTTAATGTTTAGTTTTATAGCCCGCCCCCCGCCTAACCATGCATGCATGAAGTTTTCGTATGTTGTACATGAGGGAGTAGACTATGTCATTGAAAATAATGAAGAATGGCCTGAGCAGTTTATTTACAGCTCATCTCATTCCAAAGTTATTGTGCATTTTGTATTTTGGTTATGACGTCACTAGTTTTACTTAGGATGAAAAGAAAGAACGTCTAATATATCAGAAGTGATTAAAATAAGAAAAGAGGGACCTGGTAACTAGTGTTTGCTGTGACAACCACATAAACGTTCCAAAATGTTTGCTTAGGTACACTTACTAACCTTGTACCAAATTTCATTTAATTTCGTTGAATCACTTCTGAGATATTAAACTTTATTCTTTTTGCTGCCATCCTGAAGCACAACCAGTGACGTTATAACACAAAAATACAAAATGCCCGATAACTTGGGGATGAGATGAGCTGTGAATAAATTCTTCAGGGCATTCTTCATCATTTTCAAGGTACTTTTAAGTGATGCATAAAAAATTGGGGGGGGGGGAATTTCATGTCATGTGCACTTTTAAAAAATACTGTAATATAAATATAGCCTTAACTGCATTCTGAATTAACAACTTATAGTAACAGAAGTTAGCCTTCACAGTCGTTTGAAGGAATTCAAAACACATGTCATTGATATCGTGTTTGCTGTAAAAATACAACAAGACTGTCTTAATGTCATTTCTGTTTGATATTAAAGTTTGTTTTATAAGCCAATAAATTGGTGCTTTTTTTCAATAATTATACTTTTATATTTTTGCTAGCCCACCCCGCTTCTTGTCGCAATTTTTTCCATCCTGACACTTCTTCTGACATCCTCCGATTTTTCATGGCCCCTCCAAATATCTTCCGCCCCACCTCATGCCATTATTAATCTGATACCTCTCATGAATTTGAGACACGGCAAACTGCCTTTTTTGAATTTTGACCTGAATTCCACATCAAATTCCTAAGGTAGGATAAGCCGCCAAGGTACCCTAAGGTAGTCTGAGGTAGGCTAAGTTACTCTAAGGTAGTTTAAGGTAGGCCAAAGTAGTCTAAGGTATGTTAAGGTATGCTAAGGTAATCTAAGGTAGGCTAAGGTGTGAACACGTTTTCGTTGGTAGAGATGCAACTACCAAAAAATATAAGGAGAACTTCAATGTTTCGAGCGAAGGCCTATTGTCTGGAGTTACTGGTAAGCTAAGGCACCTACGATATGCTATACAATGTAGAAAAGCCGAAGCGGTCGAATGAAACTTAGGAAAACCAAACTGGTGGTCAAAAAGAAACGAGTTCTCATTAAGATAGCTATTCATATAACTAGTACTGGCCGTAGTATAACTTTATTCAAACCGGTTATTAGCTACTAGAAATAAATCCGTTTCGTATTTTTTAGCTTTATGCATGAAACAGCTTGAATCTTTGAGAGTATATTTAGGCCTATTTAGTGATTAAAATTTAAAAATATAGAGATTAAAAAAAAGAATGATGAAAAAAACATAAAATGTTGAAATAAACATAATTACCTTTCCATTTATCCCCATGTCATTTTCCGCATCATCTATTGCAATATTTTTCACGCCCTCACAAAGATCGTTGTGGACATGAGATCTGCGTTGAAACAATATTAAGATGTTTGATGTATTACACTATTTATCCTGGTTCCAGAGGCTCGAAACGAGGCGAGAAGGAAGAGCCTCTGGTCGCATCGGTTGCAAATCCCATTTCCACACTTGATTATACGTTCAGCTATTAGATATAATTAACTTACAGTAATGTTTATTTCCCCAAACGGTTTGACATATTTTTACAAATGGCCAATCACATGCGAGATTCAAATTCTGAACCTATTCAAGTGTGGAAATGGGATTTGCAACCGATGTGACCACACGCTCTTCCTTCTCGCCTCTCGTTTCTTTTGCCTCGCAAAGAGCCCCTGGAACCAGGGTATACACCATTTTGCCAATGCAAATTTTTTCCTGTTATTATTTTTCAGATAGAAAAGACATCATCCTTTTTATACGACAATGTTAGCATTCCCATAAACTATACATTCGTTTATATCCGCAAGAAAAAATTACATAGTGTGAGCCTGGGAACGAGGATGTTTAGTTTTTGGATAAAAAAACAGTTGGATGTCTTATATCAGTTGAAATTCAAGAGCGTGCAGCACGAGTTATATGTACTATTTAATTAATACATGCGTATATAGGAGTGTTTTATCATATTTAATAATTTGCCAATATAAGCTTATGAATTATTAATGAGTGTTTGGAATTTTTATAGAACATCTAGCATACCTCTTGTTTATGGCTTCCTTTGTTTCGTTCACCTCTACCATGTTTTCAATCTCCACCTTCAATCCTTCTACTTTAATTCCAATCTGTGAAAATTCTTCCTGCAAGCGTTCCTTCATTCTTCCCGATTCATAATCTGCTAAGACTTCCAGAAATCTCTCGTCTGTAAAACAATGTAATAGAACATGCAAAGATCCTGGTCGGATATCTCGAACTTCTTGGTCATCTCGTTTACCACCAAGACCTCTTTTAACCGCAGTCTCGATTAGTGGTCTTAATAATTTATAACCAAGATAGAGAGCACCCAGGGAGACTGCAGTGATGCACACGTCTCGAGTTACTTCCCTTACAGTTTTGCACAAGTCTCGTGCGACTTCTACATTGTCAGTGGCGATGTTGATCGAAAAGTCACCACTAAGAGGGTTCCAAGCTACACTAGCACCTAGAGCCTTCCCAGCTTCCAACAACGGTTCTGTCATAACAAAATTTGTTCTAGAAATAGAAATTGGTCAACTGCTAACCTTTATTGAAGTTTGTACACGTGTTTCAGCATCCGTGGTTGTCTTGCAAACCACACAGGACCTTTTTTTAACTATATAACTAAGGGTGCAAACCCCCCAGGCTCCATTGTGGCCCCAGTCCACCATTTTACTCCCCAGTCAAAATTTTTTTCTCTAAAACATAAGCACAATATTGGACGAAAAATGGAACTTAATTAGAAGGAAGGTTTGATATTCTAGTAAGTGAAGTTGCTTTTTGATCTTATGTCATGTCTTTTATCTTCAAATGATTCAATGTCTGTTTTAAACATGCTAAACATTGTGTTGTAAATACCATAACATATATATCTAAGACTCTATAGATTTGAGTTGTTGGAAAACTAGGCTAAAAAAGTTGCAGTATTTACATAAGCATATCATTCAATAACCTGCGCGCAGACTATATATAGTAATGACATTTATTATATAAACATAAGTGTTATATAGAGTTTTTGGCCACTTAATTTTATTAAAAAAAAACATTATTTCATCATTTTGCAAAGTATGATCACGAAACAATATCGCGAATTACGAAAAGTAAAAAATGTCTTTAAAAATCCCCATTGCCATGGTGAGAAAGTGATTTTAAAAAGGGTTAATTTGCAGATTCTTTGATCATTTTTGAAAATTTCTTCGCTGAAAACTTTTTAATTTTTTGCACACAGTAATCTTATCTACAATTCCTTCAAATGATGGCATTTAAAAAAATCGTACGAGAATTCTTTTAATCCTCAAAAAGGCCTGTTTTGGAATACAAAAATTCGATTTTCCGATTAAAACTTGCATATTTTACGCACTTCAAGATTACAGGAAAGTGTGTGAAGTTTAAAAAATTTTACCAAAGGAAACACGAGTAAAATACATTTATTTTTATCTATGTGACGTCACAAAAATCAGGATTTCAATTTCCTCGCGCGACCAACGACAATCCCTACGGAGGCCCGCGCGTGTATATCACGATGTTTTGGCGCAATAAATAGGGAGCTTTAGATTTGACTACGAGTACGACTACGAGTACGAGATTCGTCAAGCTAAACGCATGCTGTATGCTTACGTAAGTAAGTAAGTAAGTAAAAACTTTATTTGTCTACGCTAACCCCTACAGCAAGAGCTGATTTCCAAGAGGGGCGTAGGTTTAAAAATACAAACGTTACACTCAATTAGGATAAATATA